CTGTCCCACACAAACACTACAGCTCACACTGAGGTAATTCATCTTTTCTCTGGGAATGAAAACAGAAGGTTTAACAAGCCAATTGCCACACAGCGAGTACAGTGAATATAGCTCCACCTACCTATACCAAGCATTGGGTGTGTGTCGGTGTGCGTGGAGAAAGGAGTCTGACACAGATGGTTATTTTTGGAATTTGGCTGTCAGGGGTGAGGCAAACTGTGCAGAACCTGTTTCTTTGAAAAGAGATTTAAATTAGCTGAGAGTAAATAAAAATATCACACAATGTACATATTATTTCCTTTATATTTAGCCAAAAAACCCATTATATTCTCATAGAATAATAAAATTAGCAGAATCAAATTCAGATGGAGGATGATGTAATATGAGATTTAGCATGATCTCTAATATTGTTAAATTTATTCAGAGCATTTGGTGGGATTTTCTTTTCATTCCCCCATCAGTGGATTATAGCATTAATCAGTTAAAGGAATAAAACGGAGATATTCACTGAGATACAAATTAAAAGTGAATTTTTCCGAGCAGCTTGTATCTTCCATGTCCTCCTCCATCTCTCTCTTCTACTCCTCCGCATCTTTTTTCCCCTCCCCCATCCTTTGCTACACCAGCAATGTGCGAGCTCTGTCTGAATGGGTGTGGTGATGACGCTCTCTGCCTTCATGCATTGTGGGTAATGTCAGGGTCTTCCTGCATTGCTGTAAATATGGTGTGCTGCAGAGTGAATCGAGCCTTCTTTGGGAGGATTTAGAGATTAAAATCTCATCCAGTATCACTCTTTGGTTTTGTGAAAACATCAGATGACCTAAGAATGTTGCACATTCCCAGAGGGTGTGTGTTTTTATTTTTTTCATGATCATGTGCGTGAAGTAGGCGTGTGCAGGGTTACAAGGATGCTGGGAATCACGACACGTCCTTGAAGCTGGTGTAGGCTTGTGCTGCCCTCTGCAGGCTGGTGAGGGACACTGAACCAGCAGGGGAGCTTACAGCTGTGTTGGAGTTACATCATTCACCAGAGAGCAATCATGTGCCATATATGTTCTTCGTAAACCAATTTAAGTTGAATTTCATGCAATTAAGTTTTAATTAAAGTCTCACTGTTGAATTTGACCTGGGGTTTCTCTGTGCTGCAGCTTTTTGACTTGCCTGTCTCTTAAAATAGCTTTTTTTTTTTCCCCTCAGGAGAGCCAGGACTACGAGCCAGAAGCATAAAAGCATCAGTCCGAGCCACCATCCAACCAGCAGCACAATAATATTTCTAATAATAAAAAGGACAAATGCTGAAACTATTACAATTATACCCCCGTTGCAAAAAAACAACAAAAAAGCATTCCCACTGAAAAATGTTCTTCCTTCAAGACAAATCTTTTATTATTATATATTGTAAATGTCATGTTATTAATGTAATGTGTTGGGTGTAGGTATTTATTGACATGTAGGATTTGTCCTCTCTGTCTCATTTCCTTGATTCCCTCCCAATGAAATGAGACCAGAGGCTGGGCTTGTGACTTTGTACTTGTGTGTATCTGTATTTAGAAACGTGCAATAGATGTTCATCATCTTCCAATGAGACATTGGGAGTGGGAAAAAATAAATATGTCCGGTTGCAAACAGATATGGAAACAATAATATCCTCTTAAGTGTCAACAATGCCTGTTTGTGGGTTCTTTTTGCATTTCTTTGGAAATTTCTTTAAACATTTTTGAAGTAAGAGTTTTTTACATTGTATCTTTATAGTTGCTTGTGAAATCATTCCAGTAAACTATCTGTTAGAAATGGACAGAGTATACATGTTTGTGTGTGTGCGTGTGTTTGTGTGTACTGAAGATTTTAACAAGTTAAAGTCAATATATTATGTCTTGAAATCATAATGGTTGTCATATCAATATGTGCTTTAAATTGCAGAACTTGTCAGTATACAGGTTTATGTGTTGAGCCAGACATACATTCCTCTGTAAATAAAAACTAAAAAAAAGAAACCATTTGTTAGTGTTGTCTGATAATGTTTAAACTCACTGTTGGCATCGATCACTCATTAGATTTTAAACCTCTTGTAACTGTTTTTTTTTTCTGCCTGCTGGTCTAAATGAGGTTGTGTTATGCATCGTCCTCACATGTTTCCTTTTTTGCTCACTCTTGTCTGGGGGACTGATTACAGGATGTGTAAAATCTGCTGAGCGGGCTCTAGCCCTTGGCAGGATGCTGCCATAGTTGGGATGCCAGTCTGATCTGCCCTTTTTGGGTGGGTTTTGTTTGGGTTAATCCGGCTGGAACGTGCAGGCTTGGTGGTGTCGGGCTCAAACAGAGGGTATTAAACGGCCTCTCCCGCCGCTGTCGGCTCAGACGGATGTGTGAATGCTGTAGGGACAAAGACAGGAGCCATGGCCTCGTTCAAGAAGTCCTTTGAGAGCCTGAAAGGCACAAGCCACTCAGCCGCAAAAGGAGTCACAGACACTGCAGGTAGAGCTACAACTACAAGCTGTAAGATGGCCAATGTAATGTCTGGCAGACAGAGAAAAGGCTTTTTTTTTCACAATGGTTTGTCAACTTAATAGATATTTCCGATAAATCCTTTTGTTTTTTATCTTTCAGGCATGTTTAAAATTGTCAATACATGTAAATGACTTGTTTGTCAAGGAGTTTTTACTCACTTCAAAAGTAAATTGTTTTTTCCTTCTGTGGTCAGTCACTGTAAGTCCCTATGATGTGTTTCCAGTGCAGGCAGCTCAAGATGCTGTGCAGCAGGTGGCAGACTCCTCTAAAGAAACAGCTAACACAGGTAAAGTGCACATTCATCTGTCTTTGAAGTGTCATGATGTGATAATGAATGTATTATTTTGAGCAGACAGGAGTCAAAATGTCAGGGGGTGAAAAAAACGTAGCTCCCAAATTAAATGTTTAATGGTCGATGAACGATAAGCTCCTAAAATGACATGAAAAATTACACTGTCTAGAAACTCCACTTATCTTTCAGAGTTGGAAACAGTGTGAAGAAGTACAAGTGGACTTAAAGTGATAATGGCATTTCTATAAACCTCTTATCTGACTTGTGTAACACACTGTGTATTACAATACTAGAAATTCATTCAAATTTAGCTTGGTTGAAGGTGGTTTTAGAGACAGGATCCAGCAAAATGTTACAGGAATAGAATGATAAATGTAATATTTTGGATTTGAGCTTTTTAATATGCATAAATTAATGCTTAGAGTCATAGGATTGCATGTGGGTTTAATAGCCTTAATAAAACTCTATACTATTTTCTTAAGCCTAATGCTGGTGATTTGTTGTTAAACTTTCTGAATATTTCTCTTCTGCTTCACTCTGACTCTTTGAAGCGGCTCAAGAAGCTGGCAGACAGACTCAAGCAGCCATAGGAAAAGCTGCGGACAAAGCCACAGACACCATCAAGGAGTTTGGACAGAAACTGGAGACCAAATGAGCCCTAAACAATGAACAATTCTAGCTGAAACACTCGAGCCAACTTGTCTAGCATCCGTAGGTTTTAGACAAGTAAAGATGTTGGGATAGAAGAATGTTGGCATCAGAAAACCTGAGAAAAAGATATAAACTGTATCTCCACACAGCTCACATTCCAAAGGAAATCTTTATAAATAGTCTTTTTTTCTTATTTTACTCTCACCCCTTTTCCCTTTGTGTTTCCTGCTGTATTGTAGATTTCATTATATGTGACTATTTTGGGAAATAAAAATAGATACCAACTTGTTTCTCAGGTTTTTACAATGTGATCCTCCAACATTCAATGGTTATAACACTGTTAGCAGCTGCAGAAGCACTGTGTGTGTGCTTTGCATCCTTTTTTTTCGTGTGTTTTTTTGCACTCATCATTGAATCACCATGGTCATTATTACCAGCACATTGCTGAGAAGATGGCCTTTGGCAGGCTGATGGCTCCTGATGAGAATGTGATCAGAGCTGTCTACCTTGGCCCTCAGCAGCACACCTCCCTCCATCACACTACGTGGTTGCTAGGCAACAGATCTCTGTGGCAGCCAGGGATTGGTGGAGGCCTTTGAATTAATGGTGAGAATACTTCTGTCAGTACACAGTGTTCTGGCCAAGCTGCAGCCCACCGCTACAGTAAAACCAAGACAGGGAAGATTTTCAAAAAAGGGGGAGATATATAGAATAATTTCCTCAGTCCTGCAAGTAGAATTACAGAGACCCTAGAGAAATACGTGTCGCAAAGCGGAGAGGTTGGAGGGAGGAATGGGTATGAAAGACGTGGTGGTTAACAAGTGTTTGTTTGTGTGGGAGGCACAGCTCTGCTTCCTCCAGGCTCCTTCAGCTGATATCCCTTTCATGTACTTTCACTGCTGCAGCAGAACACTCACTTTTTAATATCTATCTAATATTTCACAAATTTTCTCCACAAATCCTGGTTTTGTATTACATTTCTGGTCCTGTAATGAGCCTGTGGTGATCTGCCTCCACAAAACAAAATTAGGTTTAAAGGAAGTGCTTTTTTTTTAGTCTGCTTTTTTACTACCATTGCACATTTATCTACTCTGAAAGTGGTCAAGAAAGTGTGGCCTCAACAGACACGCACATTGCTGTTTTACTGTAAAGTAGTGATGCATTATTAAGAAGAGAAAACCCTCCTCTGCATATTTCACTCTCACTTCAGAAGCTCTCACACTGATCATTTGAAGTGATATGATAGCTTTTATCTCTAGTGTATGCTTCTTTGAAAATGTCTCCAGCTAAACCAATTCACCAATTCACAGGTTTAATCTCTCTGCACACAGTTGGCATTGTGTATGAGAACCTGCAGCGAATTACTATGATTTACTGATGATTAGAGAGCTGAACAGAGATTTTGTCATTGCATATACCACACACTGTCAGAACCCGACCGTGGTTTCCAGGGAAACTGGATATGTGAAGCTTTTCAACAGACACAGCCACAGCTTAAAGAGCGAGGATTGCCTAAGATAGATTCTTCTAGAGACAAACCTGTAGCCACTGCAATCACTATCAATCAACAGGGGAGATACACGGACAGATGTGGGTTTCGATCAACGGTGAGATTTGCGATGTTTGACCCAAAGCTGAGAGAGAGTTGTGGAGAGACTTCAGTCTGACTTAGACCACTGAGGTATGTCTGTTACTCATGATTTCCTACAATTTGTTTTATCTTATTTGTTTTCATAGTTAAAATTTGACAGGTACTTGATCCTGTGCATGACTTGTGATTATAGATTAAAACAGAATTTGAATATAAACTGTGTATAAAATGTTTTTTGGGTAGATCAAACTGTAAAATTATATAAATGAATCTAGCATTTAAGATGCAGTTTAATCATGTGCCTAATAATAATAAATATCCAGTGTTGATTGCTGTGTTCTACAATACTAAATAAACATGTGAATAATTTACATACAATAGTAGAAATCATGTAACGTGTCATTATTTGGATTCTTGATCAATATCGTATGACGGAATATTTTTATTACAAAAACAAACCTTTTTTTTCCTCCACTCATGCTGGGGCTTGTTGTTATAGTAACTGATTACAAATTGCACAGTGTGTCACTGCTGTGTTATGCCCCGCAGGTATTCCACCACTTTAATGCAGAGACAGAATGGGGAGTCTTAAGGACGAGATGAGGGGTCTTAGAGAGGAGGACCACAATCCCTGTGAGAAGGCGGATGATGGAGAGCGTCCAGGTGGCTCAGATGGCAGCGCTGTGCCTGAGGGACCTCAGATTAACACGAGTCAGGAGTCAACAAATCAGGGGGACTATCAGCCAAAACTTCACATGAATGCCAGCTATGCTGAAGAGAGAGACAAGATTCCAATATCCAAAGATCAAGTACTGTCAGGAGGGGTTTCTGACACAGCTGACCAATCAGACTCTATAGGAGGTAAAGACTCTACGCAGACTGACACCATCCCTTTGATGCAACAGCCTGAAGCTGATAAAACAACAGCAGCTACACATAATGGTACGACAATCTCCAGTAATAAGTTCCCAAGTGATGGAGATGGAGACAGTGAAATTCAGGGGGAAATGCCAAAGGATGAAAACACAAGTCATGACAGAGAAAAAGTGGCAGAAATTGAAAATATCTCTGTGCCTATACCAGTAACTCCAGGCCCCTTGGACCCACGTTCCCCTGCCCCTGTTGGTCAGCACCACATGCGCACACAGGTCAGCCTGGAGGTGGTCCAGTGTTGCTCAGCAGCCACCAGCCCTATGACGCCTCCGGAGGGCAGCCATTCCTTTTTCTTCCCAAGCTCTTTTGGTAGATCTGGAGCAGTGGGTGCTGACACCAAAGATGCTGAGTTACAGGTGGGTCAGCAGGTGGAGTTCTGCTCTGTTGCTACGTCCCCCATGACTCCAAAGACACCATCCACCACGGCTTTCCCAGAACTTATCGGGAGAGAGACGGTGCAGAAGGAGGAGAAGGTGAAAAAGAGTGAGGGGCAGAGGGACAGTGGCCACCAAGACAAAAAGACAAAGAGTCCAGCAGAGGCTGAGTTACAGATAACTGGAGCTATCAAATTTACCACATCAAAGGAGCTGAGTGAAGACTTCAGCTCAAATACATCTCCAGAGAGCTCCACCAGCTGCCCTGATGCTGGCTTAATAGATTCACAAGTAACTCTGGAGGATAGTAAGCAGCAATGTAAGCAGCAGAGAATGGGAAGTATGGATCAAGACATTACAATCCTAGTGACCCACTATGACAACAATGAAGATGAAGAGGGGGAGTCATCTTTTTATCCAACAGAGCCAGAGATGGTCAAAATAGATGAATATGAGGAAAATATCCTCACAGAAACTGTGGCTCCTCATCATGCACAGGATATATTGAACACAAACCCTCCACAAAACGAAGCTGAGGAGTCCTCTGTTGCTGCTTTTGATGATGTAAAAACAGACGTGAAATGTGACAATTCAGAGGTCAAAGAAAACAAAGGTGCATGTGAGGAGCTGGGAGGGGTTTCCGTGACAAAGCCTCCCGTCCCTGAATCTCCAGCTCCCTTTGGCTGCCACAACATCCGCACACAGGTGAGCCTAGAGGTGGTGCAGTGTCAGTCTGTAGCTACCAGCCCCATGACCCCTCCTGAGGGGGACCACGCCTTCTACTTCCCCAGCTCTTTTGGAAAGTGTTCAGCTGTGGGTACAGAGACTAAAGACGCTGAGCTGCAGGTGGGTCAGCAGGTGGAGTTTCGCTCTGTCGCTACAGCACCTATGACTCCAAGAACGCCCACCATCACAACTTTTCCTGAGATCAGGAAGGAAGCCAGCATAGAGGAGAAGATAGTGGAGGAGGAAGATGATAAAAAGGAGCAGGTGGTGAAAGACAAAGAGGAAACAGTTGAAGAGGAGGAGAAAGCAACCGAAGAGAAAAAGGTAGAAGCAGGTGTGGAGAAAGTAACCGAAGAGAAAAAGGTGGAAGCAGTTGAGGAAAAACTAACCGAAGAGAAAAAGGTGGAAGCAGTTGAGGAGAAACTAATCGAAGAGAAAAAGGTGGAAGCAGTTGAGGAGAAACTAACTGAAGAGAAAAAGGTGGAAGTAGTGGAGGAGAAAGTAACTGAAGAGAAAAAGGTTGATGCAGTTGAGGAGAAACTAACCGAAGAGGAAAAGGTGGAAGCAGTTAAGGAGAAAGTAACCGAAGAGAAAAAGGTGGAAGCAGTTGAGGAGAAACTAACCGAAGAGAAAAAGGTGGAAGCATCTGAAGAAGACACAAAGGATGCAAAAAACTGTAAGGAGAAAGCTGAGGAGCCGGTGCAGGAGGTGAGCTGGGATGAAAAGGGGATGACGTGGGAGGTGTATGGGGCGGTGGTGGAGGTGACTGTGCTGGGCTCAGCTATCCAGAAACACCTGGAGAAACAGGTGAAGAAGAGGCAGCCCTCCATGCCTCCCCCTCCTCCACTTAACCCCTCGGCCATACCCCTCTCTTCAGAATCCACTAAGGGGGGTTCAGGTAAGGGCCGGGCAGGGAAGAGGGGAGAGCAGGATTCAGAGGTGAGCCGACGCAGAAGAAACCCCTTCCGTCTGATGATGGAGAACATGCAGCAGCCACATTGTTGCTCCAAAGCTCATACCACTGAGTGACATAAGAATTAAAAACAACAACAGCTGGTTGGAGGAAAAAAAACCCTGTGCTGGAAAATCACGTAATGTGATACAGCGCATTCACTGATTTACTTCAATGTGACAGTGTGTTGAGAAATCACCTCCTCACACAGGACAAAAAAAAGCACAAAAGCATTTAATATACAACTTCTATCATGGAGCATTGATCGCTGAGAATATCAGTCGTAGAAGATGGATTTTATTGTGTTTTCTTGGAATTCCACGTTTCCCATGTTTTGGAAAAATGAGGCTGATATATCAGTGTCATCGTTAGCTCTTCTCTTTGAATGTTTTTCACCCGGGCCATTCATTTGTCCATGAGTCATTTTAGCTATTGATGCTTTTTTTTTATGCACCTCAGACACCTAAGATATGAAGCCATGGTAACCGTCCTACTGGTTGCTGAACACAGCTTCAATGGAGAGGGTTGCTAGCAGAGTGACAGTTTTATGAAGTCACTACAACCTGGAGGTTATTTTATTCTGCTTGGAAGTTGAAGTTGACCTAAATGTTGCCTTGATCAGTGTGAGAGGAGTCCCTACTATTAGTGCAGGCTTTTGTATGTCTTATATTCTGCTTTTAGATTTGGCACGTTTTAACTTGTTTGTGTTGTGAAAAGTATAAAAATGTACTGATGACGAGCACAATCATGATCACTTGAGAAAAGTAATAAGTCCTGATGAGGGTATTTTTACTACTTACTGTAATTTAATGCCATAATTAGTGATTTAGTTGTAATTTATGTGATGAAACTTATTTTAAATGTGTTTTAATTCAGCGGTTGTCACAGTGCCAGTGATGTTGGTGTTCATTTGTTTGTTCCTTCACTTCATAAAAGTGGGATCAAATCCACATTTGGAGAAATAGATTTTATTCACAGATTGCACTTGCAGATACATTCATTTAGATGTCCGTAAACAATAATATTTCCAATCTGCTGCTTGTAAGTCACAAAGTCACGCTGCATGAGGTTTTATTTCAGCAAGTACCACAAACCCAAAGCAAACACTGACAAATTAAACCGTTTTTGCTGAGGTGCAGTCATAAATAAGGATTTCATACATTATGCAATATTTCTGTTTCCTCTTTTTGGATTTTCTTTCTATTAGCATCAGCTGCAACAAAAATTAGCATTGTGTGTTGACATAACTTATAATACAATTTATTTCAAAGCAACAAACAGTTTTTAAACTGTTGCTTAATATATTAAAAAATAAAGTGATTCACATGTGCAACAAACAATTGTTTTGTTTGATTTACCATTGCTTCTGTTCTGTTCTGTGAAGAGTCCGACTGTTTCGGAAATATTTAAAGAGAATTAAAGAAGGTTTATACCATGCTAATGTAGTGCGCTAAATAAGAAGCCTCAGCCAGCAGGCACTTAGCTTAACATAAGACTGGAAACAAGGGGCTCTGTCCAACATTTTATGTTTTTTGTACACATCAAACAAAGTGAGCCTTTGAGGTTCTGCTAGGCTGTTTTTCTTGTTTCCAATCTTAATGCTAAGCTAAGATAATGAAAGTGGCATCAATCTTCTCATCTAAAGAGAGTAAATGAGCATATTTCCTATAAATCCATGCAAGCATAAGCATATTTTAATTGAAAGTCAAATAATCTGTTGGACTAACATAACAGTTCTCAAATCAATAACCAAACCAAATTCCATGAGATAAAGTATACTATGTGGTATTGTTATATTGTTTTCATAGAGAAACAATCTCTAATTTTGGTTTTTCTTCTTGTTTACCCTTGATTGAATGTTTAGACAGAACAAATTGTGCCATGAATCTTAAATAATACACTACTATTGGTCAGAAGAATAAGGCCTTTTAAAGACACAAGGAAGCAACATATGTCCATCTGAGGCCTCTGGTCAGTCTCCCCTTCATTATTTTCCTCACAGGTCTGTAGTGCTGAACTCAGGGTTATCATATCCCATCAGAGGATTGTTGGTGCTTTTCTTCTCGCCCCGCTGGGCCAGCGCTGCACCCAGGGGTTCAATGTACTCTGGTGGCCCGTTGTCCTCCTCCTCCTCTTCCTTGATCATCTGCTATTGAGGAGCAGACAAGACTTAAAATTAGACTATATTCTAATAAGTACAAATAAAGATGGATTTTGAAATGCAAACTCACCATGATGGGTTTTGTATCCTTGTCATCACTGCTCATCTCATCACTGTAGTCCAGGGAGTTCAGGCTTTAGAGGAAAAAGAAAAACAGGTTCAAAGTTCAAACTCCATATGCACAATTAATCATTTCAGAAAGAGTTTTTTTTATTTAAATCAAGGTCGCATGTCGACATCGGGAGCTGAAACCCAGTTCTCCATCACAACATGCTGTAGTGAGCACACTGGGACAAAATGTTCACCTGGAAACATTCCCAGTTTATTAACCAGCACTGCTAGAGAGTGGAGAGCGAGGTCGTTTGTCACTATGAGCCACCACCTTGTCAAAATGCGGTGACCGAGCGAATCACCGCTATCAACAGATGATGGAGAGAGTCACAGAGACTAATTATTTACCTGACTTTGTCCACATCTGAGCTCTCCTCGTCCAATCCCAGGATCATGGCCGTGTCGATGTTGAGGTTGAGAACAGGATTAGCCCTTTGAGCGAATAATGATATGCACAGTCAGAGATATGTTTTATTTCATATAATTGATTCATTAATTTATCTGTCATCTCCTCACCCCTCCATGGTGTATTTGTTGGTTCCAGGCACTACAGCGCCACTTTTCTGGTTGTCAGAAGTCATCATGGATGCAGAGTTCATGGCTTTAGCTGCCTTCAGTTTCCTCTTGTAGCTGTAGTGTGACGTGAGTTGATTAGTAAACACACTACCTCTCAAAGAAGTTTTCAGATTATAGGAAACTGGCATGTGTGGCTTTACTGGGATAAACTGTGTGGTTAATAGTTAATTGACCTGTCCCTAACTTTATTCCAAATCCCCTTTCTTACGTTCTGCGAGTGCACATTAGGGAAGTGATGAGGACAACCAGTACGATGACGAGGCCTGCCACCATCCCAAACAAGGCGTACTTCACAGGGTCCGTGTCGGGTTCATTCACAGGAGCCTTCCCCTGAAGCAGAAGTAAGAAATATATCTTTAATATATTGCTGTCTGTGGACCTATAAGGTTTTATTTACACTTCTTGTTATATAGTTCTGAAACTTTCTGCAAGTATCATTTATAAATTACACTAAAATGTAAGTAAAATAAAACTATAATAAGAAGAATTTGTTTTAATTTGTGTATGAGAAATCTGATCATTTTTCAAACTATTCTGCTAAATTCTGATTATCTTTTGTAAACTGTAGTAAAATATAGTAAATCCAGAGGTGGCAATGGTACACATATTGTTTACTCAAGTTCAATTCAGATGGTTTCTCTGAAGGACATTCCAGCTGTTTCTGTGCAAAGCTAACTGAAACTTTAAATAAGGTCAATGCTCCCTCCCTTGTCTATTTTTACATCATGTTTGATATGCACCAATCTTGATCTGGGAAAGACGTGCAATTATGCAAAAGACAATAATAATCAATACTAAAGTAACAAGCCTGTTTTGAAAATATATGAAGGAGAAATAGTAAAAGTAAAGAGAAAAATAAATGCTCAAGTAAAGTACAATACCTGAAAAAAAACTAAGGTACAGTAACAATGTGCTTGTACTTTGTTATTTCCCACCTCTGAGTAAAATAAAGTAATGATTAATTAATTGCTCCCAGTTAATATTCTGTTCAGCTAAACAAATCCCAGAAGAAGACTAAAATACAATCAATATTATAATAACAACAATAATCTTTATTTCTCTGTCAAAGCAACAGATTTCCTCAGTCTCCTAGTAAATACTTCTAATGAGCCTACTGTTTTCCTTTTAGAGATTTCCTCATACAGGATGGAAATCTCCTCAGTGTTGTAAATCAGATACACTGTATTGATGTCAGTAGTAGGAGAAGAAATAATAGAAAATTAGAAAATAGAATTAGATTCACAAAGGGCATTTAATGCTGCTTCCATGACTTTTATAATGTATTTTGAAAGAAAGTAAAACATGACAGAAAATAAAACTTCATAAGCTCTTCAACCGCTCGTACTTACAATGTTCTTGAGGCCGAGCTGTCCCAGCACAAGATAATGTTCAGGTTTAGAGAGCATCGTGTCCACTTCAACAGAGGTCAGAGCAGTCCCGTTGGGGTAGACAAAATATGCCACAATGATGGTGTTACCCTTGTCCCTGTGAGAAGAAAACAACTCACTTAAACAGTAAAAATAATTCACCTAAAAATAAATAAAAATCCTCTTGTGTTGCTGCAATTATTGTCTACAATTATTCAAAAATAGTTTATCCTCAACAGTATGATAGTTTACAAGAACACTGGCACCACCTAGTGGACAACAGTGACATGTCTGCAAGTGAAAAGCTGAGGATTATTTTGGAGGTTCCTGTCAAAACAAGATAATAATTTGTGATCTGTATCTATCTTGACAGACTGTATAATTTATTTTGATGAATGGGGATTTAAAGTTCATGTGAAAAGGAACTTGCTTTGATCTTGCAGAAGTGCTGGACCTGATTGCAACAATTTCAACAGCAGTCTTGGTGGCAGCAGTAAGCGCCCTGGAAATATAGAGATCCGAAAACAATAAAAAGTCAATGATGAGAAAGATTTAAAATGAAAAACTGAAAAATACTAAAACACAGTATAGCATGGAGAAATGTACCTGGTGATTTCATTGAGGTTTTTTTCAACTTCGTCTTCAGAAGATGTAAATTCAAGTTCAACTTTGTACGTTTCATCGACATTGAAAATCTAAAAAAGTAAAAATAACAGAAGCATGAACACAGACTGAAGTCTTACTGATACAACACAGACAGGATAACCCTTCGCTGTGGGTCATAAATGAAAACCTAGCTGTAGGATTTCTGCCACTCACGTCCAATATGGTGCTTGTAGAGAGGTCGCCGGTGTCAGTTGCAGTTACTGTCACCAAATACTTCCCTTTCAGTTTCACATCAAGCCCCTCTGTAGTTCTGTGGAAAATTAAGGGAAATCATGAGTGTGGCCAAAAACGGACCCTTGGGCACAGACGTCATTTATGTCTTTTTTACATGTATTCAATTCAATTCTATTTTATTTGTATAGCAACCAATCATAACAGAAGTTTTGTATCTCAGGAAACCTTTCATATCAAGCATTTACATAGTCCCAACAATTTCCACAATGAGCAAGCACTTGGCGACAGCGGCAAGGGAAAACCGTCCTTTTAAGAGGCTGAAACCTCGAGCAAACCCCGGCTCTAGGTGGACGGCCATCTTGTTCTCGTTCCTTGTAGTCATTTTTTATCTCATTGTAGTGTTTTTTGGGTCTTTTTTGCAGTCATTGTAGTTTTGTAATTATTTTATTTCTGTGTAGCTGTTTTGTATCTCTTTGTAGTTGTTTGATTGTCTTTTCAAACTAACAGTCACTTCAGTGGCTCCCCCTGACCCTTTGGGCAATCGGGTCTGTGCTCAGAAGGCCTGTTCAAAAATCCATCCTTGAGTGCAGAGGTAAACACCAAAGCGTGTGAGAAAATCCAAACACATGTTAAGAGTAGAATGAGATATGGTAGCATGATGCTGATGGATGGATTTTGTACTCACTGAATGATTCCGACATAAATGTCCTTTTGCTGCGTGGTGACAGCCTCGAACAGAATCCTCATATTAGTTGTACGATTGTTGATGTCTTCAAATTGGACTGCTGTTACTTTAAACTCAATCTGCCTGTTTATTCCAGAGTCACGGTCTGTAGCCTGAGAGCAGCAAGAGACACAAACAAGAATGTCTAGACACCATGTCACATATCTCATTAACAATCTGGTGTCAGGTCAATTAAATGTTTTTCATTCATACTCACAGTCACTCCTGCAACCGATGTCCCCTTATTGGCACTTTCTGACACCACAACTAAAATCGAAAGAAAAATCAGTATTAAACATTATAGTGTTAACAAAATTGACTAAATATAGCCCAAAAGTTTTATATGTACAAGTTTTACTTTTGTTCAAAAGAAAAAAGTTTATTGGTTTAAATGACTTGTTCCAATGAGTTTTTGTTGTCGTTGTTGAGTAGGAAAATGTCCCATAATGCTCAGTGGTTTCCAAACTAGTCAGAGATGACAATTTCAATATTTCTCCTGAATTATAAAGTTATAAATATATAACATAATAATAATTAGGGATGCACCAATACCAGTTCTAGTATCAGGTATTTGGTCCAATACTCTTAGAGACTTATGCAAGAAGTGAAAAATGAATCGTGAGTGGACACGCTACAGGGGGGTTTAGGGATTCATAAGCCAGAAAACAAATTTTAAAAATGCTGCTTTAGATCAAATTTACTTGCAATCATACAAGCTCAGATATACACTCACCAAATACAGAATCTGAGTAAATAAATTCTGGAGCATTGTCATTGATGTCTTCAATGTTGATCACCATTTCTCCTGAAATAATAAAAAAACAAAAAGTGAAGTGTTTGTAGGTCTGTATTTGACAGTTTCATGCTTTTTATGCTTTTATTTGATGCTCTTATGTTTTTATTATCTCCATACAACCCAGTGCTGACCTGTTGTGACACTGTTGTTCTCTCCTTTCTCTGTGAACTTGTCCACAACCTCAGCCTCTATCAGCACCTGCACACATTGTTCATAATCCACTGTGTCTTTTGGGTTGACTCTGACTTCCCCTGTCGGATCCAGGATAAAGCTATTGCAGGGTATCAGAGAGTCATTGCATCTGCATTTCATGGATTCCAGCTCGTAGATCAGGGAGTGGTTTCCGTCTTTGTCATAACCTGTAAAACTCCCAACAACCCCAGTGATGGTGGTGTTCTCCTTCACTATCACAGTCGGTATCGGCTTGAACTCGGGCCTCTCATCATTCACGTCCAACACGTTCACCTCCACCATCACAACAGCCTTCTTCTGTTCCAGATCTGTTGCCTCCACCCGCAGGTTGAATTGCTTGCGACTGCTCTCGTAGTCCAGCTCAATGTCGGGGTCCACGCTGATGTTTCCCCTGTAACCCCGCTCATCTGCAAACGAGCGGATGATGAAGCTGCCAAAGCTTCCATCAATGATGCTGAAAGAAATGCGGTTAAATTCTGTCGTTTGGTCCAAATCCTCAGCATAAACAGAACCAACGAATGCACCTGATTGGGTGGAAAAATACAATTCAAATTCAGCCACACAGTTATGAACACTTGAAAGGGCTTTGCAAAGGTAAATACTGACCTTTTTCTCCTTCTTTAACAGAGAATGTGTAAGAGGAGGTTCCAAATTGTGGTATGTTGTCATTTTTATCCTGGGATGCATCAAAGGAAAACTGTTATCATCCTCACCAGGAGCAGTGGCATCAGTAGCACTAATAATCTGCTATAAACTGCTGAAGACTTACCTCTACATTGATGATGACTGTGGCCGTGGTAGACAGTGGGGGAGTACCCTTGTCAGTAGCGGTTACATTGAGCTCAATCCTCCCTTTCAGCTTCGGGTCCATTGACTCACGATCAAGCTCACCCCTGTTTCTTAACACACCGGTGTTAGGATCGATGGTGAAGTTGTCACTGTACGTGCTTGGTAAGATTGCATACACTATTTGGCTGTTTGCTGTGTCTGATTCATCTGCATCAGTAGCCTGTCCAAATGAGAAACATTAGAAGAAATGGTTAAGAAACTACATTTCTTACTTAATACTGCCAAAAGTAAGTGAGGCTTGCGGAAACCAATATGTGATGTCCAAAACTATCAGCATTAATATGCTGCTGTAACAGTTTCTATCCTTCTGATTTCAGGCAGATGTTGTGTGATAAGGCCTGACTTGCACTCAGAGTTACAGTTTATCCGAAAGGTGTTGAGGTTGACGCTCAGCAGGCCAATCAATTTCTTTCACAACAAACTAAGATTACTTAATTTCTTTGTGAACCTGGCTTTATGCATTGTTGTGCTGAAGCCACTGCTATCACTATACAAATGAAAACAATAAGCTTAGCAGTGATAGGCTTAAGTTCAATGAAAAAGATATTTGTAAATAAAACTGTTTATTGATTTCTAATGCCATCTTTAAATATTTGTATTCTGTGCTTTACTAAGGTGCCATAATAATTTTATAAGTTTTTGAGTTAAAATATCTTCATTCGGGGGCTTTTCCTCTTTCTACCCCATGAATATTTCTCTAGATTAGCCTTTAGCATTTTTGATTCTTTTGTAAAAAAAAAAACTGTCCATCATGAGTTTTGTAAAGTGTAAAGTGCTATATTGACTATAGCTATATTCTATGAGATGGAAATATTTACTGTTTTCTAAGTGTTATCTCACACTTACCTCTATTTTCAGTTCAAGCTCTCCACCCTCTTGAACAAACACCAGGTAAGAGTCTCTGTTCATGACTGGAGGCTGGTCGTTGATGTCAGTCACAGTTATCTCCAGCACTGTGCTACCAGGCTTGCCGTCTGTGTCTTTGGCCTGCAGAGTCGCTGAATACAGAGATCTGACCTCCCGATCCAACAGATCAGCGTTTTTCACGTAAACTGAGCCTGTACGTGGCTCCACGTCAAAATACACTAATCTGGAACACAGATACAGACTGTTCAGTGATGTTGTCTCAGTCCCCAAAGGGTTGTTAATTATTATTATTACACAGAATAACTGCAGTTTGGTTCAGATGTAGACATACATGCTCTCTGGAAGAAGTTTGTAGGTAATGTTGTCTTTATCCATACTGTCAGGATCTTTTGCCTAGGGAAAAACAAACAACATGTGCTCTCCTGAGTGCCATTCAAGAGTGCATGCAAGTTCAAACCGCCTGAGTGAGACTCCAGATAGTAAATAGGACTTACAGTTATGTTTGCTATTATCGTCCCAGCAACAGAGTGCTCAGCCACCTTCAACTTGTATGTGTCTTGTTCAAACTTAGGGCTGTTGTCATTGGTGTCCTTGATGTTAATAGTAACTGTAGCAGTGGACTTGAAAGTGGGCTCATCTACATCTGTGGCAATCACCTGCATCACAAGTACAAGAAATACTTCAGACTGGTAAAAATGCTTTAAAAAATGATTTATTAAATACGATAACCTGAAGATGAAAGGTGCTCGCTAATATTAATATCATGGGCTCACGGCCTGCTTTGAACTTTTCTTACTTGTAGAACCATTTGCGTTGTTTTCTCATAATCCAGTTTTTGGGGCTGCTTGACCAGAAACTGAACAATGCTGTCTGATGAGGTGAATTGAGGTTCCACAGAAAACACGTCCTTGTCGGCTCCCTCCAGGGTTAGTTTAGTGTTGGAAAACTGTAAACAGCCAAGGAAGATGATTAATGCTTGAAAATTGATGTTACCCAGAGCTGGTAATGCATTACAGGAAAACCTCATCTCTCCTTTTCTGTGATTTATTTTTTTTCTTACCTTATCCAGATCTTTGACTGTCATGTCGAACGGAATTGACCCTAACGAGTGTTCGAAGACCTCTCCTGTGAAGTGACTCGCAGTCTCACAGACCTCACCACACTTGTAAAACTTTGGGATCTGGTCATTGAGGTCGATGATGTTGATCAGTACAGTTGTTGTGGTGCTGGCGAAGACCCCGTTGGTGTTTACTTTAGACTCAGTGGCCTATATTTGAACAAAATATAAGCATTTCACTGCCTCAATATTAGCCAAATAAATACTCTCAATCAAATAAGGTTTTCAAGACTGAAGAAAACTTTTTGTCCTCAAATTCAGTTTTGAGTTAGTCTCAAATTTGTGACAATACATCATACCAAAGCATGGTGACACATAACTGATCATTAAGACACTGTATGTAACATTAGTTAGACATGACTGGACTAATTTGTCGTATTCTTATATTCCATCACTACGTGTATCACATATTGAGATATTTCCTTTTTCCCCTTCCTCTTATTCTCTTCCTGCAAGTTTTGAGTGCAAACAAGGGCCACACTTTATTTTCTGTTATATTTCACAGACTGCAGCAGGTATCTTTCTTTGATTTTCATACTTTAGGTAATTCCCTGTATAGCTTTACACTTGTGTCTAACCTCATTCTCACATCCCTCCCTCACAAACCCCTTTTCTGCCTCCTAAGACGCTGCCCTAACACTGAGCCTCACTCCCTGGGTTGCTCGCCATTCGACCCGTGTTCATCCCCTCATGCTTGAACCCTTTTTTGGTAGCGATGCAGACAGCAGGAGACTGGCTCTGCTGTCTCTTGGACGTGTTCTTCAAGGTGAGAGGAAACTCTTTTGAAATATTTCTACTTTCCACAGCTGCTGGTGTGTTAGCATGAGCTTTGTTCTCTGTGCTGTTTGGATCTGAAAGGGCTCAAATAATGATTAGAGGTTTGGCAAGCCTGATTTTGAATATGTTACACAAATAGCTAAACATTTTGGGAAGTATGTTACGAGAGTTGGATGAGAGTATCTGCCTACCAGCATCCAGCATAAGCATACCTTATTAACATGTTATATCTTGTTAGTTTAATCCATACACAAACCGATATGTAAAAATGACTATTTGTGGTTTTACATGAGCTGGAAGACTTTTGTGCAGTGACTTCATGGTGTCTTATCAATACCGTCAGGTTGCCAGGCAACCAGCAGAGACTTGTGGTAGGTTTTTTTTACCTTGTACAGAGCCAGGCTAGCTGTTTTCCCATGCTTCCAGTCACGCTAAGCTAAGCTAATTACCTGCTGGCTCTAGTTTGATATTTAGCATACAGCCATGAGGGTGGTGTTGTTCTTCTTATCTCACACTACTATGCAAAATACTATGAACTATTCCTTTTAATCAGGGTAAGTTAATACAAAAGGGATGTAAAATAAAAAATAAGAAATATCACCATGGAAAAGTTGCACAAGGAAAAATATACAGAGGAGAAATTTGATGTATTCCTTAAAAAAACAACCTGTACCTTTACAGCCAGGGTAACAGTGTCACCAATAGTTTCTCTGTCGATTGCTGCTGATACAGATATGATGCCAGTATCGCTTGAGATTGTAAACAGGCCATCTACTGTGGAATCTGTAAAAAAACAATGTGGAGAAAAAAAGCCCAAAAGTAAGTAAGAAATGGTTCTGACTTACTCACTCAGTGCAAACAACAAATTGTTCAAACATTTTTTAAGTTGATGAGGCCTTACCTTGAATGCTGTAGATGAGTTTATCATTGATTCCTAAGTCCTGGTCTATAGCAGTGACTGTAAACACAGACTGGCCCTGGCAAAGCAGACAAAAAGATTTTCTGAAACTAAAGGCAGTTGAAAGCCTCCTCATTTACACTAGGGTTGCACGGTTAAACTAAATATTTTATCGAAATCACAATATGGCAATGCTAAGTGCAATATCCTTTTGAATTAATTATATTTTTTTTTTGAAAGAGGTCAAATGTATGAAAAAAAGCAATATAATGAAACAGAAGCACCAGAATCATCTGCCCTGGCCTACAAATCTGATTCTCCAAATGTAAGATGTATAAAATGTTGTTTGGTACACAGACCCCAACAAATGTCACATCATCATGATTTTAATTTTGTGTTTAAAATTAATTAAATTAAAAGCAGATGTCACACAAATGCAAAAAAAATGTTTTTAACTGAAGGGTCGGATGCATTGGACTTTACTTCATTTTCATTTACTTTTTTAAATTAACATCAATCCAGTTAAGCATACTTACCACAGCAGAATTCTCTTCTACTCTCCCTACGTAGGGAACACCTATGAACTGTGGGTCGAGGTCTGGGACGTCCACAACCGTAATGAATGAAAAAGCAGTGGTTGAGTGGAAGTTGGGTTCAGCACTGTAACAGTTGCCTCCACCATCCTGTTAGGTGACACACAAGGATGTTGATGTCATACAAAAGGATTTAAACCATGAAAATCATAATTTCAGCACAAAATCTACACATTTAGTACTAAGCATATAACTTGGAAGCAAAGGGAAACAGTTAGCCTGGCTCTGTCTACAGGTAACAAAATCCACCAACCAGCACCTCTAAAGCTCACTAATTAAGTATTTGGTATTACCCTGACAAGGAGTCCATTATAGGGAATTAAAGGATAACAGGAGGCCTGTGCGTCAGACATTTGCCTCCGCAGAGTCCATTCATTCCTGATTATGGACCGCTTGAAGGTCATTATCCCTCTTATACCATGGTCACTTGTCAAAGGAAAAAAATATTCTAAAGTTTTCATCTAAAGTTTTACACAAGCTAAAACTACATTTCCCTGGTAATGCCTGAGGGCTTGACTTATATCTGGAACAATACCATACCATACCATATGGTTCTTATGCAATGCAAACTCCAGTAAATAGGACGAACCTTAGCTATGACTTGGCAGTGTGAGATATTTCTAGCCCGCTCAGCTACGAGCCACAAAGCTAGCATTATGCTAACTAGATTCAATGTCATGTGTAGGGTTGACAAACAGTAAATATAATTTAAATTAGTGTCTTTAACGGACACCTTGCATCTGTTAATTAGATATTAATCAGTATTCTCCCAGACCATGGTATAACATTTGTTTAATTCATCCACAAACCAGTGTGTAGTTCATTGGTAATTCTTGGACAAGCCGAGTGTGCCAGGCTAGCTTTTTCCTTCCTGTCTCCAGCCCTTATGCTAAGCTAAGCTAATGTTGCTGGTTGTAGCTTCATTTAGAGTACAGAAATATGTTAAGGAGTGTTTGCATCAACGATTAAGGCATCTTTAAGTTTCAAGCGATACTTTGTCACTTGTTTCATTTCTTGTTGTTATCATTGAGAGCAAGAATATGAAACCCAAACTAATGTGAAAGCATAATACTTACAGTTGCGACAATCTTCAGCCGATAGAAAGTGCTCAGTGAAGTGTAATTCAGACGTCCACTTAATTTGACTTCACCAGTTGTGGCTACGATGCTAAACAGACCCATTCCAGCCCCTGGAGTAACCTAGAAAATACAGTGTAAACGATGCATCAATAAAGTGTATGGAACATCACAATACAATATTAATAATTTACATGATTTAAAAAAAGAAGATTACTTCATCGATACTGTATTGAACAACACCAGCATTTGAAGTGTCTTCATCAGTGGCCTGCACCTTAAACAGACTTGAACCTACAGTGGTGCTCTGATAAATTGGACGGGGATCAAAACAAAGGGGGAAAAAAGAAGAAAATTTAACATACAAATGTCTCTCAGCGTTAACAACTTTGTAAGCTAAGTTTGACATGATAATAGATTGGAAAGTGTATGCTTTTCTCACACAGAGGCCTGGAGCACACAGTTAACTGACAGTACACAAACAACATGAAAACAATGAGAGGAACTCCTGTACACTCGCTTACTGCAGAGGACTACAGTGAGTCTTCAAGATGATCACCTTGAAGCATTATGTCACCAGTCAGACAATAGCAAAAAAAAAATTATGATGAAATGATAAAAGATACAAAATTACCCAATACAGTAATGCCAATTAATCTTAAGCAAACAAAACTAGAAAATAAAAAGTCAATTTCAAGGTCCACTGTGCAGGATTTAGTGGTAACTAGCATTGTAGCTGTGGATCAAAACACGTGAACACCCCTATCTTGGTTTGTCCCTACTGTAGAAACAAGGTCGGTTCAACATGGCAAATTCCATGAAAATCAACCCATGTCATCGTTATTAATGCCTCATTCTAAGGTAACAAAGACATAACGATCCCAATATTCAGGTGATTATACACTAATGAAAACATACCTATGATTATTATATTCCATTTTCTGCCAGTAGATCCTCCTATATGTTAAACAATGGACCTTTAAGATCTAAACATACTGAAACCTTACAAATCCTGCAGTATTTTCAAACATTAAATCCATTATTTAAACCAAATAGGAACAAAAGTCTCAATTTGTCAAAGAACATTGTTTAGCAGTAAGCGAGACAGTGCAGGAGTTTTTTTTCATTGTTTTTAAGTTGCACCTTGCTCCGACGGACATGTGACACATTCAGGTGTATTTTTTTTTCTACATACAAACAACATTCTGGAGCAGAAAAATGGATACACAAATAGGTTATGAGAATTACTAACTTAAATATGTTTGACTTACCTCTGGGATGTTAAAATCATATGAAGACGATGTGAATATTGGTTTGTTGTCGTTGGCATCCAGTAATATTATATTTAAACGTCCTTCTACCTAAAAGACATAACATTATGTGCTGTATGAATATAATGGACAAACTGATATACTGTATAATGGATGATTAACATTAACTGAAAAGTCACTTACCTCATTGGGACCATCAGACACAATAACTCCAAGTACCATTACATCGCTATTCTTGAATAAAAAAATGTAGACAAAATCAGAAAACACATACACAGAGAATCAAAATGAAATCATTGACAACTGAAGGGTGTCTACTTCCACCACACCATACCTCTCTATTGAGTTCCCTCTGCACTGACACAGCCCCGGTGTTTGCATTAACTGTGAAGTATCCAGCATTGGTCCCAGTTAGTCTAAAAGTCAACAGGGCATTTTCTGGGTCTGATGCGTCTATAGTAAACGCAACCACACCTGCAAAGACAACATCAGTGAAACATATGTAAATGTGTGCAGTAATTGTTGAGGTGTAATGTCACAAAGGTGAAATAAATATCAATATCTCTCTTTCTCTCATACACTTACCAATGGGGACGTCTTCACACACTTTATAAAGATTTACGTTGATCACAGGACTGCTATTTGCTGTAGAAAAACCGTACAACACATAGTATAAGTATCATGATAAGTAGTCATTAAAGAGATAAGGACAAAATCATAATAAAATGAACTGAATACTCACCATCAGTTAAGCTGATAAGACTCAACAGGCATAACAACAACATACTTCCTGCAATCCCCCCCATGTCTGAAAATTTAAAAAAGAAAGATAAGTCTAATAAGTAGACTTGATACAATCAGTTGATTCATTCATGAGTCAAACAAATAGCAACTTCTGTTCAAGGAAATCAAGATTCAAAGTTGTGGAATCCATTCAAAAGTTGAATAAAATGCTACTAGCATGACTAAAAATTATGATCAACTCAGGTCTCAACTTCTGAAATACCAGGCTTTTATCTGATTTATATAATTGTGCATTGATTACTTTTGGTTTTAGACTTTTGGTTGGACAAAACAAGCAATGTTTTAGACTAAATGATTCATAAACAGATTGAGACAATAATCACTAACACAAATAATTGTAAGTTGCATCCCTACTTATTAGGCAAAAAATATTATTTAAATTGTGAAAGTTTTAAAGATAATTTAGACATTTGAATCATTTATTTCATCTGCCACACTTATCTAGACAAGTTATATAAACATTTTATTTCTCCTAAACACCAACAATCATTTAATTCAATAAAAACTCAGTTTTGCAGCTGGATAAAAACACAGTGAAGTTACTTGAACAGGTTGAAATTGAACAGCTTATTGAAGAGGGCCACACCCATTACAGTGCTAGGACATGTTAGATTACAGAGAGAGCAGTGCCAGCTTTCTGCCCTGTGTGATTTCTTCTATAATACTGATAAAGTTAGAGCGAAAAGAAGAGCAGAGTTATATAAGTTTAAATATATGGTTATCTATTTTCCAATATAAACAAGAACTTGTACAGTATTAAATTTACATTACATTGTCTTACATTCACCTGGGAATCGAAACTTAATTTCACTGGGTTGTTGAGTAATCTTTAAGAGGCCAATAACAAGTCGGCATTTTACAGTGTGCCCTTCAGGCTGATTTTACATTCACGATTCAGTTTGTAAATTTAAATGTAGTCTTTATCTAAGTGACTGTCCCCTTTTAGGATGTAAGAAAGGAGTATGTATGAATGGTTACGGCTATCTTACAGTTTGTAAGGGTTTTGCCACTATAGTTCTACTGTCTACTCGATGTAAAGACAAAAGAAAGTTTAGAATCTGTACTTTTTGATGTTAGGAGCAATAATTAATTTATAATAAATATGAGCTTTAAGGATTTTTACATGCTGTGACTTCCAAGGATTAATCACTTTGGTATCTCCATGCTTCTGAGAATTGTTTAAAGATTTAACTATCAAAAGAGGAGTGATAAAGTACACTACAAGATATTTTACCATGTTAAATTGAAGATAACGTCACATATTTTCTATCTATTTAATGTTAGAACAACAAGTACACAGATATATTGAAAAAAGAATTGCATTTGTTCTTTTTGTAATAGTCACCATTCTACATTGTGACTAAAAACATTACACTAACCTTTTTTTTAAAGGCAAATCTTACTTAAAATGCAGCAATCAGACTTACCGAACAACATTCACCAAGGAGCTTCTCCTATACTGATGTCTAGATGAGACCTTTGGCTCTTTGTTCCTCCTAGTGATTATCGTCTTGTAGTCGTAAACATGAATGATTAACACGAAACGCACAGCCAATAACACAACAGCAAACTTCCTGTGTGTGTGTCCTTGTTAAAACAAACACCCAAAAGTATCTGAAGGGAAATAAATCAACTTTGCCTCATTTTCCTCATGGCTACATTGTGGCTGTTTATGTAGTAATGAGAGACAGGGACCAGGCAAACCCCTCCACCAGTAATACATGGCACGGTGCCATACCGGGTCACTAATGTCCATACCAGAAACCCAGAAGCATCTGAACTGCTCTTTTGTTTGAATGGGTGCTTATGTCGTTATGGCAACAGCAGTAGCCTGTTTGCTTCCATTGAGAAAACCCCGATGTGACCTGGGGGCCTTTCTAAAACTCATCAGAACCAATCAGTGGACCAATGCCTTTTTACAGAAAGCAGAGATCCATGTACCTCCCTAATGAGCTCTTCCCAATAAGCCCTCCTAATTAAACAACATCACACAAAGGATTATCTTCTCTTGTCCCCCACTAAATCCGTTCATAATCAGACATTTGCTTCAAAACAAAAGCACGGCCCCACACCTCTACTCTGCCAGGAAACATTTAAAACCTTTTTTCCCCCATTTATTTATTTCTTTAAAATAGGGTCTTTAGACTGGAAGTACACATGAAGACACATTTGAAAGCCCTAACATGTATAAAGCAAATATTGCGTACGCTCCAAAACAACAACAACATGGTTCTTTGGATTTTGAAATGCTAATATGCTGATACTTAGCAGGTTTAATATTTACTATGTTCATAGTTTAATGAAGTAGCATGCTAACACTATGCTAATTAGGACTCAAAGTACAGCTGAGGCTGATGGGAATGTCATCAGTTGTGTGGTAGAGCATTATACCGTAGTGTTATCCTTGACAGCTCTTTTTAAGAACTACTAAAAAATGTAGTATATATTACTACATATATATATATATAATATATACCCAGTAGACCACGGACAGGATTTAGTTTCAAGGAATCCCCTGTTAGTATTTGTTTTATTTTTAGGATTCAAGATTATAAAGTCTATATAGTCAAACAATAAACAAACTAGGATCACTATAAATTACAACACAAACATGGGTAACTAAGGATAGAGTGTTTACATTGTTCACTATCTTAGTTTAATGTGTTAGCATGCTAGCATTTGCTAATTAGCAGAAAACACAAAGAATGGCATTTAGTTTTAGCATGTATTTGGTAAAAGTATTACAAGTCATCATTAGGATGACATGAATACCTATACCAAATTTCACAGCAGTCCATCCAATATCTGATATTTCAAATTACAACAAATGTCACCTCATGGCGGCGAGAAAAAGAAAGGAAAAAGTCAAACAATAACCAAATATCATTAGGACTCATCCTCTGGGCATCATAAATGTTTGTACAAAATGCCATGTCAGTCCAACCAATAGCTGCAAGATATTTCAAGTGGTGGACTGACTGATATTGCCATCCCTAGAGCCATGACGTGAGCATGGCTAAAACACAATTATGATGCTTATTTGTTAAACTGACCTATAATGTGTGAAATGTCAATCAAAGTGGGTCATATTGGTTCTTTATTACCTCAGGGGGTGAAAATCATTCAGTTGGTTGAAGAGAACAAATCAGTGTGGGTATTAACGACGTCCCAGACATTTTATCTAATTAGACTTTGGTTTATGACTTACAGCACTGAACCTGACACTCCAGCAATAAAAATATATAAATGGGAGGGAATGTGATAAAACTCTGCCAAAGTATTTTCCAGCAATCAGAAACAAAAATATATCTAATCCAGGGTCAGTCAGGGTGTTGTCTTCCACATAGACAAGATGATAAATAAGTCACGATAAGTCATGACGCACACTGGCTTGTGATGACCATAACAGAAGAATATATATCATATGCAATAAATAAGAACTTGGGCCAATACATCAGGATGTTAAATGGTCTCATATAAGAGTCCTTTTCTCTTTGATTACCTCATTTTAGGATTAGGACGCGGTTGAGGTACATGAATTTGCTACTTACTACTTTTTAGTTTTACTTTTTATCTTTACTCTTTCCTTCCAGTACACAGAGGCATTATCCTGTATTTCCTTGTGGAGAAATAGTACTTCAATGTCCTGTTTTTTATACTTCTGGACTGTTGACCCCACTACATTTATTTGTCAGCTATACTATACAACTATACTATACTGCAGATTAAGATTTCCCATAGAAAACAACAAAACATGATGCATTATGAGTTAAGCCTCCCAATAAAGTAAGTAAAATTAGGTTTATTTTCAGTCAATAATATGGTTTATATAATGATATAACATTCTGGAGGGGGCCCATATTTTTATTTCTTGGCACATATATTTATTCCTCTGCAAAAGTTTGATTTATTTTTGATAAATAAAGTATCTATCTATTCTATCTATCTATCTATCTATCTAATCTATCTATCTATCTATCTTCTATTCTATCTAATCTATCATCTATTTCTATTCTGTGTAATGAGTACTTTTACTTTTGATATTTTAAGTCAAAGTTGGTAATAGCTTCTGTGGGATGTTTTACCTTGAGTAAAGATAAAGACAAGTGAACGCTTGTCACGTCAACTCTCGAGTCGGACTGACACTTTTTTCGGTCCATTACGGTAAAAATGGCAGCACGGCGTGTGCTCTCTGCTCTGGAAATACGCAGAAATGGGGGTGTAACAGGGAACTGCAGAAACCCAAAACAACCGTGGGGCTGGATTTCCATGTCTAAAACCAAAAAGTGGCGATCACGGAAATAATCACGGGATTTGCAAAACCATAAACCCGCGCAGCACCCAGCCTGAGCGCGGTGATAATACGAGGGTCTGATGTTTAGCACCTTTTTACGGCAGTGGTGAAATCCACGGAATGTTCCACACGGGAACAGCTGACCGTAGGATGCCGCACTTAGCCTAACGAGATGGGAACATTACGAGGAAAATATCAGTGATCAGATGTTTGCATATTAACAATCAGGTAACGGCACTCCTCCTCTTGTTATCGCTTCGCCTCGGTTGAGTTTTGGAGATTTACGGTGCGTGTTTTACGGGAGAGGGTTAGACGGGTTATTAGGGTTGTCATCCTGCTCAACCTCCAGCCCCTCCTTGTTTTGCTGCTACCGAAAGCGATGTTGTAATGTTTACATTTAGTCTATGTTGCATACCACTGCTGCTCTACTTAGTCAGTTTTTCATTAGGTGCATACTTGTGGGTGCATTCACAAGCCTAGATCTGCCCCAATGCTTTGCAGGGAAGCGTTCAAAACAGACAAAGACATTATTTATTAACTCCTACTTGACAAATTGGGCCCGATAGTTAGCTTGTCAGGCCTAATACAGCTTGGTAGTCCACAAGCATCACATCCAAGCTTTTGCAGCTGCATTCGCTGGCCTACAAACACATAGCTGAGAAACGTCGTATAAAAGCTGATGAAGGATGTTTCTCACTTGGTCATGCAAGTGCAATATTACATAACTGGGTAGCTGGGTAGTCTACAGTAGGACACTGTGGCCTCCTGTGAGAGTCAAAACAGACTGTGTGCCACAGTACACAGAGTTACAGCCCTAAAGGCAGGGTCTTCTGCAAAATAAACTCTTAATCTAATTAATTAAAATGCATGTTTACTTTTGGTCGAAATTGATGACTTGGCCAGTAATGTTTTTTGTTGTTTTTCAAGGGAGACAAATTGCCACAAGAGGGATGTTTTAGTTGGGAAATTCCCAAACTTTCCAGGTCGGTTATACTAAAATAGTTAAATACTGCATTCCTCACTTGGAAAGAGTTTGAGCTAAACCTACTCTTATTATTTTAAATAATAGTAATTAAAGTGTTTAACATTAAAGTACTCCTCATGCAAACTGTCCCCTGTCGGTATTACTGAACACTACTGGATCATACCAATGCATTATTATGTTCTCGTATAAGTTCAGGTGGAGCTATAATTTAAATTCCTTTATACACTGCTGAGTAGATTAACCTACTTAATGCATAATGTTGTATAAACTGATTTAGTATGTACAATATTCACTTGAAACATAACTAGCTGTTAATATAGTGGAAGAAAAAAGTGTAATAGTATCTCAGAAATTATAGCACATCCGACTATACTAGAGTATCTTAGTCTTTCAGATCGACCTATATGTTAGTTAATCAGTCACCATGCAAATATAGAGTTGCCTGATGCATGTGCCTGAATACTCTGATTGTAATCTAGGCTGTTTACAATAAAACAGATGCCTGAATGAGGTCAGTTGCTTAACTAATGCACCAAGTTACTTTCACTGCGGCCTATTACTCCAAAAACAACAACTTTGTGATATATGTGGCAACAAACACCCGGAACAGCAGTATATTTCCGTCCCGTCCTGTTAGCGTTAGGGATATTTAATTAAACAACGTTATTGTTGACCCACCCCCCCCACGACCTCTTGTAGCTTATAAACAAAGCGTGTTGTTTACGCGCTACAAATAACAACAGGAAACTGCTTGTTTTGATACATTGTAGCCAAAAAGACTGTCTGGACGTTCGCCGTCTGTGTTTGCTGCACGCTGATTGGCCCGTCTGGAAAAAAAGGAGGCGTGGCTTCGTCATAACAATGCATTTCAAGGAACACACACGCGCCAAGGAATGTCCGTTCCACCGTTCACCGTTGGGTTTTTTAAGCTAACGTCACCTTTTGCACACGTCTAACGGTTTTTGCTGCCGTTAACGGTTAAGGGCCATTTTTACGGTTTGTGGAGAAAAAAACACCTCCTCCTCCTTCACCTCCTCCTCCTTCACCTCCTCCTCCTTCAGCAGTTTGGAAGCGTGTGTTAGCTGGCTACCGCTAGCGAGCTAACTAGCAGCTCCGTCCGACGTTAACCCAAAAAAAAAAAAAAAAACAGACAAAAAAAAAATCAGTTTTCTCGGAAACAGCAGTCGGTTGATTTGTCTTCGTAACGTCAGATCCCGTCGGGTGATGGTACCAGTCGGTTAAGAGGCGGTTTTACATGCAACAATAACTTGATGGGACTCGACATTTCGGAGGCTGAAACACCTGCCGTCTCCCCTTCTCACCGAGCAAGCAAACTAGCTCAGAAAAAGTAAGCAGCGGGCTCTTGTTGGCCGACTCACATATAACATTATATAAAACAATGTCCAAACAATGCTCTGTGTTCACGGTGTTTATAAAGCAGCATTCATCAGCAGACAGTGACTCCTTCACGGTGCTCGGGACAAAGCCTTAGCCTAGCTCAGCTAAAGTTAGCAGCTCTCCTCGTTTTTAATTTAATTTAATTTTTTAACCTTTTTTAATAAGGGATTTAACGGGTTGCCACGGCGGTAATGTTTGCTTTTCGCGGTGGTTGTTGTTGTTGTTGACTGTACGGTAGTGTGTTAAATAGGCAGCGGTCCCGTTTGCCTGCCACATCTTTTGTTGTTGCTTTGTCTTTTGAGCACATGGCTCTCCGTGTTTTCGTTCAGGCAGGCGACAGCGACCCCTGTTTACTCTGTTCATTACACTGCTGCTTCAACACATCTAACTCTATTGTTTGTGTGTTTTTTAAAGCGTTTTGGATGAAAAAGTCTTTGCGACAACCTACAAATGGAAATATAACTGAGGAATGTGAATAACTGCACTGACTTTACTTGTATAATTACACATTAATGAGTTTTACTTAGATGTGGCCTTGATCTTGATTGCTCTTATTAGGCAGCATATGTTATTTGTCTTATAGTTGGAGTTAAATATCCAGATAATTAAGTGTCTTAGTCTTGCAGATCTACTAAATGTTAGTTAATCAGGAGTTGTTTGATCTGTGTGGCTGAATACTTTGATTTTAATCTATTTTGTTTACAATAAAAGATTTACTTAATAAGGTCGGTGGGATAAAGGATTTCCTGAACAAAAACAGGACACGTAAGCTTTAAACGTGCTCCACTAAAACATGAAGTCTCACATACTTTATATTCCTTATTCTAACAGATTTAAAGCACAGTTAACTTTAAAGTGGAGTTAGATCTTAGAAAAGTGTTTTATTAGTATTATAATTCAGTATTAAGTATGAATTTTTGACATCTGGTGTAAAACCTGCTACTATCAGCTATTATTAGTGTCTATTTTACCTCGTTTGTTATCGATAGAGGATATAAATGATCTCTGTAGCGTAAGAAACAAGGTTGTGACTTTGTTTTTCTGTTTTTTTCGCAGGGTTAAGACAATCAGAGGCGACACACGAGTGCCTCCACCGTACGGTTTCCTTTCCCAGAGTGTGACTCGTCTGCACGACGTCACCAATGCGACCATGGGAAATAGCAGTAAATAGGCTGCCACCAACAGCCCCCTTAAACCCGAGGAGGTTCCTTGGAGAGCCCTGTAACGCCCCAGTGCATCTCAGGAGAAGGTAAACTCTTTTTAAAGCCGCTTTTTATGTATTTCGTCGTGTTTTTAAGTATTAGAATCAAGATTTTGATGCTTTCAACGTCAACCGAATGTCAGCTTTGTGTGTGACTCATGGTGCCTCGGCCGCAGGCAACAAAGAGGCAAATGTGCTTTTCTTTCTCCTGAATGTAAATTAAAAATAAAAATACTTGTTGGAGCGGTAGATAAACAATATGTGTGTTAGTAATCATTACAACACAAACTGTGTTGCGTGCAAATGTGGCACATGTTGTTGTTGTTGTTTACTATATTTAGACAGAATAACAGACCATCAATTATTGAACACATGTTACAGTAAAACGTGAGAAACCTTTTCATGTTAGCTGAGACTGAATTATCCAGTGTGTTAACAGTTTATACTGCTGCCTCTACAATGATGTCGAGCATCATTAAAAACTGCAGTTTCAGTGTATTGTTACCAGGGCTGGACGATAAGGCTGCAATCTGTATCACGATATAAGTGTTTCATATCGGTCGATATCCATAATCACTGAAAAATGTTGGAAAAAATTGGAAAATATACTAAAATTTAAACATTTTTATTATAAACTCAGGTGGTAAAACACATTAGTTGTATTGTATTATTGATTACGAGTCTATCGAGATACATATCGTTATCGTTTTATCACCCAGCCCTGATTGTTACACGCAGCATGTTTCCCTCCATCAAGCCGCATGTCGACATACCCTAAACAAAAACTCAGAAGTACGGCTTGTTTATTTCCCCACAAGATTTCAAAGGAGAATAAATACGACTACAATGTGTAAATGTAGTAATAGTATGTAAATAATTACCGATGTTGGATATAAATATCTTTAAAATCTCAAAGGCAAAAGTCACTAAAGCTTGTTTTAATAAAATATCTGTGTCGTTTGTTTCTGCGCGACGTTCCAGCCCACCAGTGAGACGCCAGTGGGGGAGACGAGACAGACCGGTACTGCACAGTTCCCTGGTCCAGGATGAGAACTTCCACCATCTCCTTTTCTCCCAACATCACCAACAGGTTCCTTTAGATGAGTCCAGACAATACAGCCACACCAGCACACCACCACGCATGCTTCACCCTGCTGCTCACCTGCCCCAGCAGAGCCCCATCATGGTGGATCTACACGACCAGGTAACATAACAGGAGCAGCCTGGTGAGTGAAGAAGGTTTATTACCGTCATTTCCGGACTGTCGAGCGCAGGTGTCCACGTTGTAACATGAGATATTTACACAGGAAAAAAGGAATTGTTTTATAATTTAGATAAATAAATGCTGCCCGTCTCCAACGTCTCGACCATCGATTCATTGGACGCCAAACGCTACGGTGCAGCAGCTGGTTTTTCCTTTTCTTGGACAGACAGATCGCGTGCTTAACTTAAAAGGCTGCCCCGGTTCGTGTGCATTTCTTCTTGTTTTCATGATGGCAGGCTAAGGGCTGGGCGCCAATTAATCGAAATGGATTCATGATTACGATATTTTTGGAGCCCAAACGCATCTTCAAAACTAATAAAATCGGGGGGGCGAAAGGGTTTTTTTTTTTTTTTCATGTTTTCTGCTTTTTGATGCCCAACGTGTTACAGTCTGCGTTATTTCCGTCACTCCCCCCGCAGTGCCGCCACTGCACCACGAGTTCACCGCGCTCGGTATATTCGGCCGGTTCCCGACCTGCTCGGCCTGCGACGATGTGGAAGCTCACGGGAGCGCTCTAACGTTTACATACTCGCGCTGCGCCGGTCGCCGACACTCGGCCTTGCAGTTCTTCCTCCTGTTACGTTGTTTTCGGTGGTATGAACAGGGTAACGGAGGAGACTTACAAATGTTACGGGGAAAGCGAAAGGGCCTGTAACAGACTTCCTTGCCCAAAGGTGTTTTTGACAAAATGCTCCCAATAAATCAGCACGCTTTCTGAAAAATTTACAGCCTTTAAAAAGTATAATCGGGCGGATTTCAATTTCTGACCCAAATAATCGGTGATCATGCATTTTTCTATAACGAAGCAGCCCTATGATCGAGAGTGTGGGCAATGGGACTTGGAATGGGAATTGAACAATTCAACTGAGGATGAATTTCAAAACACAAATAACGTTCTTCCTCGGGCATTATCTTTCTTCCACCTGTCTGTGCTCGCCTCTTGCGTTTCGTCTGGTTTAGAGCGGCACCCCTGGATGGCGTTAGGCCCCGCTAAAAATCTCATAGATTAGCACCGCATCATTGTTTAAGCCGCTTATAGTCCGGAAATTACGGTATTTATTTAACAGGACTTGCTGTATTCCTCAGTGCTGTGCAGGTTTAATAAGAGTGTAAAGGTGTTGTGTATAATGAGCTCTTTCTGGCAGACAGGCTTCTGTTTGAGCCAGATTGTGGAGTCACCCCATCTCTCCCCCCCTGCCCCACTTCTTTCCCCAAAAGATGCACCAGGGATCAGTTCCGATATCATACACTGTTACAACGGTGACGACCCACGGATTTCCCATCCACACCGGGCAGCCCCTTCCAGGGTGCAACGCTCAGCAGCTCCCAGCATGCTCGGTAATGTTCAGCGGACAGCTCTCTCTGCTCTGCTGCCTTCCTCCTCCTGTGAGTTTGAAAAGGAAGAGCCCAAACTGTCAGTGGCATCCATGTAGCACACCATACCAGCCATGCAATCTGTCACTGTTCATGACTAACACTTAGGCTGCTGCTGTTACTGTGCAGGATTTGTGGTTGATGTTAGCACAGATATTAAAACAGTAATGCATCGTAAACTGTGATTCTGTTGTACATCTAGTGTATTTGCGGACTTCAGAACAATAATAATCTGTGTGGTGTTGTGGCAGTACTGTCAGCGCTGTGATTTTTATGTAACGCATTGCTTCTGTTCACTACACGCTTTCATTATAACTGCCTTACTGCAAATATATAAGGAGCAAATTTGCTTCGGTTAGGTGGAGGCTTCTTAAGTGTTGAGTTTCATTGTTGACAAAGTTAAAGAAAATTGACTTCATGTTCTGTTTTGTTTTTGTTTTCTCTCCGCAGCTCATACAGGCATGTACCATGCAGCATATGCCAGTGTCTTATCAAGCCTTTCCACCCCTGATATCCAGCGAACATTTTGTATTGCACCCAACCCCATCCGTACCCCCCCACCAGCCACCGCACCTTACTCCTTTGAGTCAGTTTGTCCCTTTACAGCCTCAGCATCCACGCATGGTGAGTGGTCCACGTCGTTGCACACACAGTACAGTGAATGAATGCAGTCAGTAGTTTGTTCATTTGTGTCAGCTGTGTCTAATAACGACCTCCTCTCAGCCTCTACAGAGGGTAGAGAATGAAGTTGACCTAAGAGGGGACCAGCACCCATTAGGGACCTTCTCCTACCCTCCCTCTCATCACCCACCAGCGCTGCCTCCTTCTCTGCCCTTACAGTATCTTCCTCAAGAGCCGCTGCATCAGGAGCTTCCCTTTGGAGTGGTAAGATAACCTCGGAGACAGTTTCTGACCTTTTATCCCCACGGAGAATGACTAATTCTCCGTGTCACATTAATTAAATTAATTGTATCATTAAGAATTATTGTTAAATACTGCTGGAAGGTACTGAAACATTTTAATGAATAATCCTAAGCTAATGGTTTTCCTTCATACTTTCATACCACGGTCCGTATAATTGTAAAACGGGTACTAAATTGAATTCTATGTGGTATTATAAAGGTCTTAAATTTAATTTTGAACTGTGCAGAAAACACTGAGCATCGAACTTGCTCAAAGGCGGTACTTATAAGGGTGCATATAACACAAAGTAGAATAAATAGACTTTTATAACAGTAGATGTTTTTGCTGTATAGTGTTGCTGTAATTGAATCATTGATGTTATTAGTTCCATTTGTGTCTTTCCTGCTATGACGGGTCAAAATACAAATGTATGAAGTTAATTAATTCATTTTGTAACAAAGAAGAAACAAGTGTTCTGATTTATTCATAAAGTCTTTTAGAGTTCAAGATGGAAAAACCTTTGACAGGAATATGAAGAAGCTATTTGTCAGTTTAGGCCAAACCGAGGTTAAGTTCATGTTCTTGATTATATTACTTCAATAAAATTCCACTTAGCCTCTTATTGTTACTGAATAACAATGCCCTCAAAAGTCAGAACAAAGTTAGAGCTCCACTGTTAACCACTGCTGGGCATGCGACTCGCTTTACTCATTAGAAAATAATGACATTACTTTGGCTAACCGTGGCAGTAATTACTTCCATCATGCATTGCATTACCTGCGACAGCTCTAAAGCTGCCACACGTTGGATCTTCTGTATCTAAAAGTTGTAGAAATAAGTAATATAATAGCTGACTTTGAAATGTAAACCCACACTAACTCCCTCGCCATAGAATTGTTTAACATTACGGTAAAACTGTCTTGCATGTGCTGATCTTAAGGGTTTTTTTCCTCACCAACATCCTTTTAACACAGTCTGACGTTTATTAAACTTGCTGTCATTATAAAGTGAAAGAAGACGATTCACTTTATAGGCTGTCTGCGGGGTCTTAAAAAGTCTAAAATCCAATAATCTGAATTTTAGGCAATAAAATGTAGTAAAAATGATGATGACAGGTCTTTTTGAAGTTAATGCTGCTTGAATAAAGTAGCCTCTCTTTTAAATTTGAGGAAAAAAACTGTATTGAACCCGCTGTAACAACTACAACAATGTCCTTTGTACTTAATAAAATAGGCCTTAAATTGCGTAACTGTATTGAAAAGTAACACATGTAACCTGTTGAAACCTTCATAAGTCCTGCTTTAATCACAGACTTCTGTGTTTCTCCGCAGCCATATCCCCACATGCTGCCCCGGCGAGTGAGTGGACAGAGATACCGGCTGCAGCAACCTCTCCCCCCTCCTCCTCCCCCTCCATCATACTACCCAGGCTTCCTCCCTTACTTCCTGTGAGCACCTGCAGTAAAAGCATCCTGTTTATCAAGTGTGGTTATTCACTTGAATGTAAAATGCCTGATTATACTCACTTCTGCAGGCAGAAAAGATGATTACATCTAGTTACCATTCAGTGTATTTTCAGCTCATGTGCTGCTTTCAGTCACAGTGAAGTTGTTGTGATATTGTTAACTTTTGCTTAACAAGATATGTTTCTCTCTCTCTCTCCGCTCAGGTCAATGCTTCCTGTGCCTCCAACAGCAGTGGGCCCAGCCATCAGTCTAGATCTGGATGTGGATGACGTAGAGATGGAGAACTATGAGGTTAGTAGGGATGTCGCGAGAACCGACGCTTCGGTACCAAGACGGTGCCAGGTGCTAGTTTTTCTGCTGTACCGTAAGTACCGGGAATCAATTCTTCCTGACCTGACGGAGCGCCTCCTGTACAGTCTGGTGACTGTCGCACTGCTCTGCAGAGAAACACAGAGTCATTCACAACAAGCTCTGTCCACATGCAACACACCTGCTGCTGCTGTTGTTGTTGTTTTTTTCACCAATAGTATCGAATTGGTGTTGAGAATCATGAATTTTCACTGGTATTGGTATGGACTACAAAATTTCAGGTATCGTGAAATGCTTTGAGGTTAGAGTGATGTTTTTTTTCACACATTGAATATAAATTATATACCAAATGGATGGAGAGGAACTGTCTCCATTAGTGTGGTCATACATGTTCAATCCGTTGACATGATGAGATTCAAAAATACAAAAGTATTTCTCATGTTTTATATGTGGTCATAAATTCTAAAATGTTATAGGTGTGACTAAAAATGGAGCATGTGTCCATTTCATTGTATTTTACACTCACCGTGTCTCTCTCTCTCTGTGCAGGCATTACTGAATCTGGCAGAGAGGTTGGGTGAAGCAAAACCACGTGGACTCACTAAAGCAGATATAGAACAACTTCCGTCCTACAGATTCAACTCAGAGAATCATCTATCTGAACAAACGCTGTAAGCCTTCCCCTTTACCTTTTTAATAAACAAACCACATACATTCATTCCATACAGATGAATCTATACTCTGGTAACTGTTTCCTTTCTTCCCCTCAGGTGTGTTGTGTGCTTTAGTGACTTTGAGTGTAGGCAGCTACTTCGGGTATTACCTTGTAACCACGAATTCCACGCAAAGTGTGTGGATAAATGGTTAAAGGTAAGGAACAACTGAACCATTTCATAGTGTTCTCGTTGTTTTGTGTGAATATTTTCATACACGGTGCTTAAGGTCTTTTTAACGCTTCACGTTTCCGTTTGATTTTCAGACCAATCGCACTTGTCCTATCTGCCGAGCCGATGCCTCGGACGTACACCGGGAGGTGGAGTGAGAACTGTCTTTATCTCTGAGTGCTGAACTGGAAAGCTGCGCACACCAGAGTCTGTCCCGGAACTGGGGACACCTGCCACCTAACCTGCGTCCTCCAGTAAATATAGCTTACCAACCCACTACGTCTGCCCCTTCCTAAATAATAAGCAATCCAGGATTGTTTCTGGAGCCTGTTGTACCTCTGCTGTGCTTCATTGTCCAAGTCTCATGAAACCCACTGCCTATCGCAGCCTATAGCCAGAGTTCTGGGATCGCCAGCCAGTTCTTTCTCTGCCCCCTCGTTGCAGATTCCAAAGATTTTCCCTACAATGCATTATTTGCTGCTTTTGTTTACAGGGTTTCATTTTTATTTAGTGGATTTGGTTGTGGTGTTCATGAATAGTGGGGAGTCCTGCATTGGAAGAGGTGAGTCGGGATCCTGGAGGATGATAGGCTGGACACCTTGTGCAATTAGCAGAAAAATAATAGGAATACTTCAACATGGGTATCTGTGTTTGGAGGCGACGCCTGACCATCATAGATGCATGTTTGTGTAGGTGTTGGGCAAAGTGACTTGTTAATAATGTATGTTCTGCAATAATGTACTGATCATTTCAACAGTTTTACCCCTTATTTGTTTTAGATTTGCCAATGCTATTGTGAGTGTGACTTGCTGCGGTTAAATGCAGATTCTGTTAAGCCTGAGGTTATTGGACTGCAAGTGATGGGACATGCAACTGTGGGGTATCTTCTACCCTAGATTATCCACTCTGGAACACAGATCTGTACAAAAGCAGTCACGGATTAATGGACTGCGTCTTTTCGAGGTCATCTGGCATAACTGCACAAGTGCTACATCCACCCTCCACGTCAGCAATTGTTCCTCTGGCAAGTGTGTACGCGTGTGTGCATAGTGTGTGTGTGTGTATGTTTGTCCTGTTCACAGAGCCAATGCATTGTGTAACCACTGGATACAGGGCAGCATGCTAGGATTTGCATGACCTGTTGATTCAGACTAGCAATATTTTAATCAAGCATTGCCACCAAAATTATCAAATTTTAAGAAAAAGAAGAGACAAAGAAGCCTACTAAAAGAACTGCTTGCTTATTCAGAAAGCGCCATGAGGGAAGACTAGCATGTGGTTCCACCCTGACTGCGTTTAAGGATGGGAGTCCTCGTCCGAAGGCTCTGCTGACGCCATAGAGCTCTGGAGGCCTGTGCAGAAAGCAATATGTGCAGTGAGTGGCGAGTTTTAAATGAACTTTCTTCCCCTTTTAGGAAGACTTGGCTTTTTATTTCTTTGTTTGTGAGCCAAATCCAATATACAGATATAGCCTATACTGTTCAAGATTTCAGATCTGCCTTCTTATGACCTTGACAAGCACAAACCTATTACTAATCCTGAAAATACTTTGTCATTTCCACCTGTTTTAAAAGTATGCCGTTTTTAAAAAAAAAAAAAAGGTTTATTTATTGGTTTTATCTTCTAGAGAAAATACATTGAAGGAAACAGTCGGAGCACTAACAATGTTTGTGTATGTGTTATATTCTGGTAACTTGGTCAGGTCATTGTCTTAGGCCATGGTAATGGTGTTGTAAAAGAGCAACTGTATGTATAGCTTCCGTGTGAATGCTTTTAGATAAACGTTTGAAGACAGAAGAATGTTGAAAATCCTTGTAGAAGTCACTGGTGACACTCCACGATGCGCCAGCTGTCTGTATCCTGCAGCGATCAGGACGGGGTTCAAATGACA